CTGGGGGGATGGAGAGGCCAGAGGGAGGCCACGGAGGTGGCAGTGCCGTGTGCTGGGGCGAGGGAGCAGCCCCTGCCTGGCCATCCAGGCTGCCACGCTCCGGGCCAGCGGGATGCCACACACGGGCCGAGGTGCACCAGTGCAGCCAGCCGTACCTTTCCCGTCTGTGGCGCCAGGTCCAGGGCATAGATCCATCGAGCATGAGCATTGACCTCGGCGCGCAGGAGGCCGGTCGTTGCCTCGTACAGCCGAATCTGCCCATTTCCGTAGCCAGCAGCCACGACCCCGTTCCACAGCTTCACAGAGGAGCAGGTGCAGCTGGGCACAGAGGCACGTGTGACCTCCTCCCCTCCCGGCTGCAGACCCATATGCCGGTGGCCAGTGCCGGGTGTCCCCCTCCTGCCACCCTCCCATCCCTCACGAGACACTGATGTGGTCTGGCTGGGGATGTCCAACACCACCCTCCAACCAGACCCCTCCGTGTCGCTCCGTCCGCCCCTCGTGCTTACCCGAAGGCCGGGATTTTGCTGAGCAGGGTGAACTCCTCCCCTGTGCTCCAGACGCAGAGGGTCCCAGCGTCATCCGCAGTCACTAGGTCACCAGCCCCGTCCTGTGAAGCAGATGCGGGTCAGCCTCCTCCCCGGCACCGCTCGTGGGGCAGCCAGCTCTGCCGCCGGCAGCGCGCGGCTGACTCACACCAGGCAGAAGGTTCTTGCTCCCCCAGTTGCCTGCGCCACTGAAGTTGCTGCGAAGCAAAGCCAGAGCCTGCAGCAGAACGAGCTTAAAGTTTAACAGCTCACAGAAACTGCTGACGCGTTTTGCGAATGAGCAAGGCTTGGCTGAGATCACACACGGGCATTTCAGTTTAAACATGTTCATGTTTAGCAACGCTAATTACACATCGGATAAATTTCTAGCAAGAATTACTGCATCCCCTCCCTCTGCATCTGCGTCTCGATGCTCTTCATCTTCCAGGCGCCTGGGATTTCACACGTCAGGCCCCGTCTCTCGCTCGTTAGAAAGCCTTTAAACAAACCATGGGGCAAAGTCCGAGAGAGGCACGTTAGAGGACAGTCACCGCAGGCAGAGGTAGATGACAGAACAGCTTTCAGGTAAACAAGCTCCATATCCAGGCTAATTGGGAACCAGTTCTAAGCAATTAATTGTTCAGGGGAGTCCCAAACGCAGAGAAAGTTAAATGTAACTAATTAGAGAAAGTACAAGAAAGTGTCCTTGTTGGGAAGGAGGCGGCCAATAACGAGGAAGCCAATTAGTGTGGCTGCAGAGATGTCAACCGGAGTGAGCTGAATTGAAGAAGCCCCAGACTGTGCTCTGAAATCAGGTGAAGTTATTTCATCTGCCATGAGAAAGGTCACCGGTGCCGCCCACGGCTTGGGTCGGTTATCTCCTCCACTGGCCAGGGGAAAAGGCTCAGCCCTTCAGCTAGTGCACAGGCACGGCTCTGCCCTCGGCTTCCTCATCCCCCCGGGCGCCAGCACCTCGGGCCTGGCTTGGGAGAATCAGGGTCCTGTACCGGCAGCCAGCACCCTGGGATGGCTCCGGAGACACGGGCAGGACATGTCCCATGCCTTCCTCTCATCGCGCTCCCGTGGCGAGGGCCTGCTGTAGTAACTCGCCGCTCTAATGGTAAGAGCTTTAATTCTAGCACCGGCAGCCAGCACCCTGGGATGGCTCTGGAGACACGGGCAGGACATGTCCCATGCCTTCCTCTCATCGCGCTCCCGTGGCGAGGGCCTGCTGTAGTAACTCGCCGCTCTAATGGTAAGAGCTTTAATTCTAGCGTGGGTTAACTCACGGCCCGTTTTGCTCATTTGCTCTTGTACCACCACTGGCCTTTAGCTTCAATAGTTCTTCTGTGCTCTGGCACGCACGCCGACGGATCACGGGATACTCTGGGCTGGCAACGAGCCGCGCTCCCACAGCCACGCTGTGTGCAGGGGCATCAGCCCCTTCACCACCTTGGCCGGCGCTCTCCGCTTCAGCATGTGTGTTCCCAGAGCCTGGCAGCCGGGACTGAGATTCAGCCAGGTAAGAAATGTGGAGACCGAGGCGCTAAGAAGGCAGAGACCGGCTGAACGCCGATGGAAAGTAGGACAGTGCGATAACCGATGGGGTGGCTGCTCCCAGCTGCCAACAGCCCTGAAATACCACAGTGTTTTATACAACACTCGATTCCCACTTGCCTTGCCTGGAGGTGCCACGCTAAGCCACGGCAGGATGGCTCACAGGCTCCCTGGAGCCAGGGCTAAGGAAGCGGCCATCCCAAGCCACCTCCTCCCCCAGATGTATCCCACCCTTGCAGGGGAGATCCCCCTCGTGCAGCCACAAGAGCCAACGTCCTTGGTGAGCGGAGGGATGGCCGTGCTGTCTCCTGCGCCATGCCAGCTCAGGGGCAGCTCAGCCACATCGCAGCCTCCCGAGACCTTGGCTGCAGTGGGGATCAGGCTGCCCACGGAGAGCACCAGCTCCAAGGGTGAGGGGCTGCACCCTGGGATCGGCTCAGCCATGGTCAGGGCCTGGGTAAACCTCCGCTCCCAGAGCCAGCACCCGCGAAGCATCCCCGAGACAGCTGTGGGGCCAAGGGGATGGCTGGAGTCCCCACCACCCTGCCCCCGGCACCAGGGACCCCACTGGCTCCTCTGGCCCGAGTGGCTGCCGACAGCACTGACCCCACACGTACCGGAGCCTGGCCCAGCTCCGCCGCGATGTCGGTGATGGCGTCGCGGTGCTGCTCCAGGACCTCGCTCACGGTGACGTTCGTCCCTTTGGGTGGGATGTCAAACACCAGCACCTGCCCAGAGGATGTCCCTGCGGACGGCCCGGAGGAGGCATCAGTGGGGGCTCATCCCCCCCTGTCCCAGGACTGAGCCTCCAGCTCTTGCCACACCTGGAGCTGTGCTCCCTGCTCCCCCCGAGGCCCGCTGCCTACGCGAGGCTGCTCCTTACAGACGCCGCTCACCAATCTGCCCCTCTGTTCAGCACAGAGCAGCACCCTGCGAGAGCTGCGAGGCGAACCCAGCCCCTTCGGCTGACCCCACATCGTTACACCGTCCCTGGGCCCCAGCAAGCCCACCCCCTCAGCGCTCGGCTCACCCACGCAGATGAAGCGTCCGCCAGCTGCAGCGATCCCTCGAGCAAACACTGCTTGCGCTGAAAGGAAACCAAGAGCTGGTTACAACCTGCGGCAGCTCCCAGGAACCAGGAGACTGGCGCAGCGCTGTGAGGCACCAGGGTGCCTGTTCAAGTTTCATCTTTGGGGCGAGTCCCATATCTGCCACACTGGGTCCCTTCCGAGCCCCTTTCCAGCCCCCCCAGCCCCCACTGAGCCAGGACAGAGGAGTCAGGGCGACTCTGTGACCTCTTCCAGACTCTTCTGCTAAGCTGCTGTGTCGGACTGTCCTGGCTAACCAGCAAGGCTGCTGGGGGTCTCTGGGCCAGGAGGAACCAGGCTGCACTACAGGGATCACACACATGTGGGGAAGGAGAACAGGCAGAGGGGCCGGGAGCTCCCTGCTGCGCTCCCACCAGGGATTTACCTGGAGGATGCTCCGTGACGTCCAGCGCATGCCAATAAACCATGATGGAGCCATCGGACTCATACATCTGGAGAGAGAAAGCAACAGGGTGAGGCCCAAGAGGGTGGGGAAGTTTCTCTCATGGCTTCAGGCTCAACCACTGCCCTAAGAGATCTCCAAGAGAGAGTGAGAGCTCTCTGGGTATGCAGCAGGACCTCCAGAAGGTTCTCCTGTGCCGCCAGGAGCCCAGTTGTCCTCACAGTGAGCTCATCCTCCCAGCATCATGACTTCACTTCTCACCCTCCATGGAAAACCCCTTCACCTGGATCCCTTTCTGAGAGGTCAGCACCAGCAGGACCCGTGACGGCAGGACGCACCAAGCAGCCTGGAAGGAAAGGAGGCTCGGCAGGAGTCCAGGGAGGGGGAAGACGGGGCAAAAGCCCTCCCCACCTTCCAAGGGAGGGACAGTCTGCAGTCGCCCAGAGGCGTGCGTGTTTCTGGCTCCTGTCACGGGTTTACAGAAGGTGGGTCCCTCCCATCCTCAGGGACCTCTCCAAGGTCCCACAAACCTTCTCAAGAGGCTCCTCCCCTCTCACCCTCCCCGTAATCAGGACACTTTGGGTTCCTGCTTCTGTCCCGGCAGTTCTACAGCCATGTGCACTCAGCTGGGAAGGCCCTTCCTCCCTGCTCTGTAGCTCCGCTCCCTTTGCCCTGCACTTGGCAGTCAGCCTGTTTGGGCCTTGTGGTTGATGGGTCTCACCTACTCAGGTTAGAGCAGGCTGGCATTAAAGCACAGACCTCTGCTAAGGCCAACACACCCTGCTGAGGCAAGCATCATCCTCATCGGGGCACAGAGAGCAAAAGCAAAGACTGAGAGATGATGTCATGGCAAACCCCAGGTGCCCCTTGTCATGCGGCGCTACCCCCGTCCCGCTCCCACTGGCCCTGGTGAAGCTGCCGGCAGCACCGCGCTCCTTCCACCCAGCGCCTGCACTGTGCACAGCCGTCCCTCCCC